ATTATTATTGTGATATTGGATGATCCCTTAGTCATTTCCCAGCTCTAAAATTCTATGCAGGGATGGGAGCTGTGGCACAGTGGGTTAAGCCGCTGTTGTAAGGCCCATTATTCCTTACCAGAGTGCTTGGTTCAAATCCCAGCAACTCCGCTTCCAATCAGGCCTCCTGCTAATGCACAGCTTGGCAGGCAGTGAATGATGGCCCAGTGCTTGGACCCCTGCAACCCATCTGGAAGACCAAGATGAAGTTCCTGACTCCTGGCTGTGGCTTGGCCCAGCTCTGGCTATCGCAGGCATTCGGACAGGAGATTCTGTCTCTCTTGTCACTCTGCCTTTCTTTCTTTAAAAAATAAGTAAATAGGCCGGCGCCGCGGCTCACTAGGCTAATCCTCCGCCTAGCGGCGCCGGCACACCGGGTTCTAGTCCCAGTCGGGGCGCCGGATTCTGTCCCGGTTGCCCCTCTTCCAGGCCAGCCCTCTGCTGTGGCCCGGGAGTGCAGTGGAGGATGGCCCAGGTGCTTGGGCCCTGCACCCCATGGGAGACCAGGAAAAAGCACCTGGCTCCTGGCTCCTGCCACCGGATCGGCGCCGTGAGCCGGCCGCGGCAGCCATTGGAGGGTGAACCAACAGCAAAGGAAGACCTTTCTCTCTGTCTCTCTCTCTCACTGTCCACTCTGCCTGTCCAAAAAAAAAAAAAAAAAAAAGTAAATAAAATTCTATGAAACACAGGTAATGTCTCTAATGTAAACCACTGGATATTCTACTTTTACTGACTAATTTGTCTCTCTGATGTCTAAATGAGACTATTTCTTTTTGAATCAACTTCTTGGCTGTATCTAAAGGCTTCTTCTGAGCATTTAGTGCAGGGCTTAAGACTCCCCTTGGAATGCCTACATCCTATATCATGGTACCTAGTTTTGAGTCCTGGCGCCATTCTGGATTCCAGCTTCCTGCTCATGTACACCCTGGGAGGTAACAATGGGGGCGATGACTCAAGTAGTTCAATCCCTGCCACCCACGTGGGAGCCCCAAATTGAATTCTTGGCTCCTGGCTTCAGCCTGGCCCAGCACTGGCTGTTGTGGACATTTGAGGAGTGCATCAGTGGATGGCCGTTCTCACTCTCTCTGTTTCTTGTCGCTCCCCCTCTTCGCGGAGGAACGACACAGGACCCTGCGCTGTTCTTTTGTCTGCTCATCCCTTCCCAGGTTTGCTGCTGGTTCTTCCCGGGTTAGCTACCATCCCTTCCACCTCCGTGGAAGGGCAGTTCCCCCTGCCACTTTCCCCACTTCCGCAGGGGAGCGGCACACCACCGGCCAGCTCTCTTGGGGGCTGCTCAGGTGTTCCTTCAGATAGATGTTCCCCTTAGATGTTCCTGGTGCATGTTGTCTCTCTCCTCCTTTATAGTCCTCTTCCACCAATCCCAACTCTGCTACCCACACGCCGAGTACGCTGCTCTCCTCCAATCAGGAGCAGGTCCTACAGTTTATTGGTTGAACTGGAGGCAGCTGTGTAGAAGCTGTTTACTCCTCTCCCAGCACCATATTGTGGGAGAGCAGATGCATAGAATAAGTCTTAATTCCAGTAACTTAGTCTAGTCTGAGTTGCTCCCCACAGTTTCTCTGCCTTTCAAATAAAATAAATAACTTAAAAGGCTTCTTTGACCATGAATACTTATAATAAAGCAATGAGTTTGTTAAGTAATATAAGCATTTATCTGATTTCTTATGACTGCTTTTTCTTCTTCTTGCATTACCTTAAGAAAGCTCAGCAGTGAGTCTTGTTTGCCAGCTGCAGCTGTATTTCTGTTAGAGCACGGAGTTACGTCCTGGCTCTCCAGTTTGGAAGTGTTGGATTCTCATGCCAGGCCATCAACAATGCCAGAGCTTGGTAAGACCTGGATCCTCAGATTGACTTCCACGGGGCCGGAAGCTTCACGCTGACCTTCCTCGTATTGCCCCACAGGGTGAACCCATCACTTGCTACTAAGCGCTGGGAAGCGTCTTCCTCTATCTGTGTCCTCCTCCATTGGGGTTCTGTCTCTCCTCCCACCCCACTTTCTCATCACACATTCATTGGAGAATACTTTGCAGATTGGCTTTGCCCCCATGCTAGGGTCCCTAATGATCTCTTTATGGCTAAATCCCGTAGACATATTTCACTGGTACCTTATTGAACCCCTCAACAGTCCTTGCTTCTGAAGTGTGCTTTCCCCTGGGCTTCTGCCACGCAACATTCTCCTGGTTTCCTTGCTACCCTCCTGACCTCTATCTTCCACTTTATTTGAGGTTCTGCTTCTCACGCCTTGAATGTCAGTGTCCTGGCACAGGCCCTGTTCTCACTTTCCGGACTCTTACACGATTCTACCCACTATCCAGGTTCCCTGTGTATGAAGAGTTTCAATTATAGATAGATCTTTCCTGATCCTGTATATATCAGTTGTGGAGTGAACACCTCCATGTGGAGTCCTATGAGCACCTAAATCACACGGCATCCAAAAGGGTACTTGTGATCATGGCTGCTTCCCATATTCTCTCCTCCTCCTGTCTCCATAGTAACCACTCAAGCCAGACATCTCGAAGTCATCTTCCCACTCTCTCCATGTAGCTCATCAGTCACAACATTCTGTTTGTACAATTCCTAAGTCTCTCTTAAATGTATCTGCTTCTCTCTAGACTATTTCTCATATTCAGGCCACCATCATCCCCTGCCTTTATCATGCCAAGGACCTCAAGGACCTCCTACTTGGAATCCCATTTTTCATATCTCTACTGAGTGGGTCTGATCACATGATTTCCCTGATGGAAACTTTTGGTAAACTCTAAAATCCATAAAACTGTTGCTAAAGCCCTTAGTGATCGGGCCCCTTCTGGCTCCTACTGGCCTTTCCAGTCTTATTTCACCTGCCCAGACCGTCCTGCACTGCTCTCGGCCCCTCTGCAATGCCTTGCTTCCTTTCATCTTGAGGACTGCCAGTTGTCCTTCCATCCTACTTCCTCCCTACTTTCTGGCTTTGCTAAATCCCAAACTGAGACTGAAAGAATGAGTAGGGACTGTGGGACTGTCTTTAGCACAGCCTCACAAATTCAGATTGGGTATCCTCCTCCCTCCTTCCTGTATATTATTGTTTTTTTTTTTTTAATTATTATTTATTTATTTATTTATTTGAAAGGCAGAGTTACAGAGAGGCAGAGGCAGAGAGAGAGGTCTTCTATTCAATGGTTCACTCCTCAGATGGCTGCAATGGCTGGAGCTGAGCCAATCCGAAGCCAGGAGCTTCTTCTGGGTCTCCCACGTGGGTGCAGGGGCCCAAGCACTTGGGCCATCTTCTACTGCTTTCCCAGGCCATAGCAGAGAGCTGGATTGGTCCTTTCTGTATATTCTTACAGCTACACTTGCCTGCCTACATTATCCATTAGACTGTAAGCCCCATATGTATTTCATTGCTTTATACCCAATGATTAGCATTTAGCCCAATACTTAGTAGATATTCAACATGTATTTGAATGAATGACTAAATGCTTGAGTATGTAAAAAAAAAATCTCTCAGTACCACTAGAACACAAAGCTCAAGTGCACTTGTTAGTATAGACACAATATGGAGGAATTCTCAGCAGTCTACAGGCACAGCCAGACTAGGTACCTGCCACCTCCCTCCCAGTCACCTCCTAGGAATTTAACTCCCAACAGCGCTTAGTATCTTGTGTTCTCTAGTTTCAGGAGGAAAACTCACAGTAAGCTCATAAAAACTTAAAGGGTCAATAACACACTAGGTAGCCTCAGATTCCTCATTTGTAAACAGGAATGCTGAAATCCATGTTAAAGTTTTTCAAACAGCAGTTGCATTATATAAATGTAAAATAGCATTATTATTCAAAAATTTCAAATGATAGCTTTTTCTAGTGGATTACTAGGAATGTGGTCAATGGCTATTAGTGATTTCATCATTTTCTAGACAGTTTTTTCTATTCCAACAAACATCAGTTAAAGATGTCTTCACACACACACACACACACACACACAAGCACAAAGATGTGGTCAAGGATAAGGGGACAGACTCATTACATTCTCATTGCTTTCCCATTTTTCAGCTGGACGTCGGGGAATAAAACTGACCTGAAACACAGTCAAGAAATCTTGAATGCAAAGTCCCCCCAACTTATAGTTCTGCATATTGAAGGACATTGTTATAATTTTATTTATTATTCATTTCCTTGCCTATTTCCTAAGGGTCTGAGGCAGCTTTAACCAAGACACATAGATCTTGGTTAAAAAAAAATAGGGTATAATCGAATCATTTAAATAGCATCAAGAGAATAAATGCTATTATGAAGTCAGAGCAGTAATCATAATTTATAAGAAAGCCCAGCAGCATAGTTGCTATAACTGAGTATGAAATGCTGCTCCGAGCTTCCTGGGAGTGAAGGTGAAGCCCGAGGAGGAGAAGTTGGCGCTCGGTCTGAGCACATGAATTTGTCAGGAGAAACAAAACTGTTTTCTAGCTCTGAAACCAAAGAGTAAAGCAGGGACCTATTAGGAATGTCGATCAACGATAATGAAGCAGTTGCATAAAACATGCAGAAATGTTGTGTTTTAAAAATTACTTATTTTAGAGACTTAAAGACATGGAGAGAAAGACAAACCAGAAAACAAACAGCAACAAAAAATTCCCATCTGCTGTTTTGCGCCCAATTGTCTCTAATAGGCCTGGCGAGAGCTGGGAGTCAGGAACCCACTCCAGGTCTCCCCCAAAGGTGGCAGGACCCCAGCTGTGTGGCAGAAAGCTCCAATCAGGCGCCGGAGCCAGTGTCCAGCACAGACGCTCTGACATACAATGCGGGTGTCTTATTGGCTAGCCAATGCCTGCTCCCAATGTTTACTTTTTATTTGAGAGAGAGTGGCAGAGCTCTTTCATTTGCCAGTTCTGTCCCCAGATAGATGCCTACAATAGTTGGGACTGTGTCAGGGGCATAGCCTGGAATAACCCTATATGAATTACATACCTGTCATGATATTATCTGAAGGACCATTTTCACACGTGAATTGAAAAATATCTCCGGTCAGGTGCCAATTTTTGTGTACCAGTGTTTTTCTCTACAAAGTGGATTTCCAAGTACATTATCCATGATGGACATTAAAGAATGAGTAGAAACAGCTATCACTACATAGCACTTTCCTGTGCTAGGCACGCTCCGCAGAATAACCCACAGGTGTTTTATTTATTTATTTATTTGAAAGGCAAATGACTTCAACAGCCAGGTCGAGCCAGGCCAAATACAAGAGCCAGAAACTCCATTCTGATCTCCTGCAGGGGGTGCAGGAGCCCAAGTAGTTGGGCCATCACTTGCTGTCTTCCCATGCGCATTAGCAGGACTCTGGATCAGAAGTGTGGCAACTGGGACTTGAATCAGGTACTCCAAATGTGGGACACTGGCGTCTCCAGCAGTGGGTTAGTCCACTGCACCACATGTCAGCCCCAGAGTGGGGGTGATGGTGTTGTTATTACACACACTCCTTAGGGAGAAGAATGTGTCTTAGATGTGAATGATCAGGAATGCAACCTTCTCTCTCTCTCTTTTTTTTTTTTTAAGATTTATTTTATTTGAAAGGCTAAGTTAGAGAGAGAGGGAGAGACAGAGATCTTCCATCTGCTGGTTCCTCCCCAAATGACTGCAATCGCTGGGGCTGGAGCTGGCTCGGGCAGAAGCCAGGAGCTTCTGGGTCTCCTATGGCAGCTTCACCTGCTGTGTGCCACAACGCCGGCCCCGGTTTCAATTTTCAAACCTCTCAGAAATTGTAGAATATAAAATAGTAGATGTTGAAAGTCCCACTTTGAAAATGATTTCACTCATTGCACAGGTACATATTGAGCTCTTGCAGGCCTCCAGAATTTGCATTTTAATGGGGAGGACCGGAGCAGTGGTTACAGGGGTCAGAAGTCAGAGCAGGGAGGTGGCACTGTTGCTATAGGGTGGTTCAAGAATGCGGTCAAAACAAGTCTTTTGGAGGCTTAGGTGAAAAAATTAAGGCCAGCTGGCCAACACAGGCCAAAGAACAGTCTCCTCCACTCTTTCGTGTTACCCTCTCTGTGGTCCCGCTGGGGCCACTGCTCTCCCAGCCTGGGATTTTCACATGATGAGCATGAAGACCCTGCAGCTACACAAATAGAAAAACGTGCTTTAAAACAGACTTCTCTGGAGCCATTGTTCTGGCAAAGCAGGTTAGGCCGCCATCGGCGGGGCCAGCATCCGAAATGCCAGTGCCAGTTCAAGTCCCGGCTGTTCCACTTCAAATCCAGCTTCCTGCTAATGAACCTGGGCAGGCAGCTGCTGATGGCCCACGTGGTCGGGCCCCGCTTGGGCATGGCCCAGCCCCAACCCCAGCCACTGGGGTCATCTGGGGAGTGAACCAAAGGATGGAAGATCTCTCTCGGTCACTCTGCCTTTCAAATACATACATAAATAAATCTTTAAAAATATATACCTCTCTATTTAAAAAGCGCTTTCCTGCGCTGTTTTTCTTAAATTTATCCGGAATCTTCTGTCCCTGACATACGGAGCTAACAGGTAAGCTGGGTCTTTGCCTGGCTCTTCTCTGCCTCCAATCCGTTACCTACCGGTGGTGGCGCTAGAGAACTTGGTTCCGGCCCTGAATTCGACAGCTCGCCCCGCCCTGCTCCCCGAGACCTGCCCCTCGCACCCGCCCTATCCCACCCCCAGCTCTGACTGCGCCCTGCTCCACGCCCTGAGCCCCGGCGTCGCGTCCCCTCGCCCCGCTCCCAGCTCCGACTGCGCCCCGCCCTGCGCCTCGAGCCCCGCCCCTCGCACACGCCCTTCCCCGCCCCCGACTCTGACTGCGTCCCGCCCCGCGTCCCAGTCCCCGCCCCGCCTCGCTCCCCGCTCTGATTACGTCCAGTCCTTGAGCCCGCCCGGCCCCCCCCGCCCCGCCCCGCCCCGCCCCCAGCTCTGACTGCGCCCCGCCCCGCGGCCCGAGCCACGCCCCCCTCGCTCCCCGCTCTGATTACGTCCCGCCCTTCAGCCCGCCCTGCCCCGCTCCGCCCCCAGCGCGGACTTCGCCCCGCCCCGCGGCCCGAGCCACGCCCACGCGCCCGCCCAGCCCCGCCCCCAGCTGCGGCTGCGCCCCTCCCCGCTAACCTAGCCTCGCGCCGGTCTCCTCGCGCCCCGCGCCCGGCCCCGCGAGTTTCGCGTCTCCTCCGGGCCCAGCGCCGGCTTCTGCTGTCGCCATGACGGCGGCCGTGTTCTTCGGCTGCACCTTCATTGCCTTCGGGCCTGCGCTTGCCCTCTACATCTTCACCATCGCTTCCGACCCGTTACGCGTCATCTTCCTCATCGCCGGGTGAGGCGGTTGCGCCGGGAAACCGGGACGCCTGCCCCGCCCGGGCTGCCCGCGGCCCCGGGCGTCCCCGTCGAACGGCTCGGCCTTGCTGGGCTGGGGCAGACGGAGGGTTGGGCGGGGGAGACGGAGACCCCGCTCTCTCAGGGCCCCTCGCCCTTCTCCGAGCGAGAGCCGAGATCCCAGGGGCGGGCTCCGAGGAAGGCGCTCGTGTCCGTGGGTCCCGGAGACCCCTGGTGCCGGGCTCCTGAGGGCTTTGGCCTAGGGCCCACGGGGTGGGCTGCGGTCGGCGGTGTGGACACTAAGAGTGTAAGGGGAAAATGATGAATACAGCAGCGTGTGCGTCCTGGCCCCTGGTTTTCCTGATTCTCAGAGGCATCTGTGGCCCCCCGAAGCTGAGAGGCGGGGACAGTAATCCGCCCGCTCTGCCATAGCGTCACCCGGGCCCCGGGTGGGTTGAAACTGCCCCGCCAGCCCGGCTCAGCTGAATCCTAGCGTTCCTTTAAGCTCCCGGGCTGAGTGAGGTGAGGTGCAGAGCCACCTGTCGTGCGCCGCCTCCTGGGAGCTTAGTGAGCGCCCGGCTCTGCTGGCCAATGTGGTCATCATCCCGGCGCTCCCTGGGGACACAGGCGTCTCCCCTGGCACCAGGCTAGCCCGGCCAGCCCCCCATTTCTGGGCCCCGTCGGCTCTATCGACCGTATTGATCAGAAACAACAGATTTCGGCTGCAGCTTGCTGTAACTTACCGTCCATAGCGGGGTGGAAAACAGACCACAAGTTTTCAGTCTCAGGATTTTTTTTTTTTTCTGTTTTAATCAGTAACTGTTGATAGAGATTTTGTGTGTGTGTGTGGAAAAGAACACTTTGCGGATATCTGACCACCAAATCCATACTTGTTGGTAGATTTTTTTTTTTTAAAGATTTATTTATTTGAGAAGTAGAGTTACAGAAAGTTCTTCCATCCGCTGGTTCACTCCCCAGATGGCCACAACGGCCAGACGCCACCTATTAGAAGCCAAGAGCTTCTTCTGGGTCTCCCACTCGGGTGCAGGGGCCCAAGGAATTGGGCCTTCTTCTCATCTTCCGCTGCTTTCCCAGGCCAGCAGCAGGGAGCTGGATCGGAGGTAGAGCAGCCAGGACTTGAACCAGCGCCCATATGGGATGAGCACTGCAGGCGGCGGCTTCACCTGCTAAACCACAGGGCTGGCCCCTGGTAGATGATGAAGATAGGAAAACCGCAGAAGTCACAGGTTGTAGATGTTTCGAGTGAGCAAAGCATTGATTAGGAAGAGTAGCAGATAGGTTTACAGCCAGTCTGTCCCCGTGGGTGCACTTGAAGGAGCAGGGTCACTGAACACGAGTCGTGGCTGGGAAAGCATGCCTTCCTCTGGGACTAGGTGTTTGTCTCACCGGGGCAGATGTGCCCTTGATAAGGAACAGCTGATCAAGAGCACCACCTGATGAGGTCATCATGCTTTCTTTTAAAAAAAAGTGTTCATTCTCAAGCAGTTTTTTTCCCCTCAGTTTTAAATCATTATAAATCCTGTCCTTAAAGCTTATTTTTTCCTAATTTTCAGAGCTTTCTTCTGGCTAGTGTCTCTCCTGCTTTCGTCCCTGATTTGGGTCATAGCAAGACTCATTACTGACAGCAAAGAGGGACCCAAACAGAAATATCTGCTCATCTTCGGAGTGTTGCTCTCAGTCCTTATCCAAGAAACGTTCCGGTTTGCATATTATAGGCTTATCAAGTAAGTCAAATGCTCTGCCTTTCTCTCTCAGATTTGAACCATGATTTGAGAATTTGACATTAATGTCCTGTGTATTTGAGGGTCCATGCCTTCCTACATAGATCCAAGCCAAGCAATTGGTACATTTCCATCCTGAAAACTTATTTTTGACTTGTGGCCTTCTTTTCCTACTTTCCGTTTTTTTCTTTCTTCCCCTCTTCCCTCCTTCCTTACACCATCCTAGACACATCAGTGGTTACAAAGACAGTTTCTGGCTTCATGTAGCTTTATCATAGTGAGAGGAGACAGATTAATGGACAAGAAAATACATTGTGGGTGGGTGGGTGTTTGGCATAGCGGCTTAAGTCACTGCTTGGGATGCCACCTTGTATATTGGAGTAGCTAGTTAAAGTTCTGGCTACTCGGTTTTCATTGGAGCTTCCTGCAGCAAATGATGGCCTAATACAATGAGACCCAGATGGAATTCCAGGCTGGCCCAGCTCTGGCTTTTGCAGGTATTTGGGAAGTAAACCTTCTGGTGTAAGGCCTCTTCCCTCTTTCAAATAAATAAACTTTAAAATATTGAAACAAGAAAATACAATATATCTTAGAAAACTAGAAGTGCCATGGAGGTAAATAAGCTAGGGAAATAGTCATTAAAAAAACAAAAATAATATAATTCAAGCTTGTATTTTTTTTTAACTTGAGAGGCAGAGAGAGAGATGGGCAGTGGGAGAGAGAGAGGAAAGAAAGAGAAATACAAATACAAACACAAACCCACCCACTGGTTCACTCCCCAGATGCCTGCAGTAACCATGAAGGAGTGAAGCTGGGAGCCAGGAAGATTACCCAGGTCTCCCATGGGGATGACAGGAGCCTATTACTTGAACCATCATTGCTGCCTCCCAGGATCTGTACTGGAAGGAGGCTGGAGTGAGGAGCCAGGGCCAGGAATCAGGCTTGGGTTCTTTGATAGAGGATGCAGGCCTCTTAGCTGCCCACTCCTCCACTCAGAATCTTCAGGTTCTTTTCTTTGCCATCACCTAATATGAGTAATTCTTAAAAGATATGTCTTCCATTATTTTGGTTGTATTAGGGGAAAATGGGTTCATTTTGTGATATTTCCTGTTATTTCAAATCAATAATGGAAAAACACGTTAAGAGAAAAGGCTTTGCACGAGTTCCCTTTTTGGGCCAGAAAGTAGGTCATCTGTAGGACCCATGAGGACCTCACGTGAAACCACTGATTTGAAACTATTTTCTTTCAGGCAGTCATAAGGTTGGCTTTGATTACATAAGACTTAGGGTGACAAATGTGTCATCTTTTTTATTTCTGCAAATGAAGTAATTCAAGCTCTCCATAAAGTTCATAGATACAACCAAGACAGAACCTCAACAATATCTCTTTATTTTATCTTTTTTTAAAGATTTATTTATTTTGAAAGACAAAGTTACAGAGAGAGGTAGAGACAGAGAGAGAGGTCTTCCATCTGCTGGTTCACTCCCCAGATGGCCTCAACGGCCGGAGCCATGCCCATCCGAAGCCAGGAGCTTCTTCTGGGTCTCCCACGTGGGTGCAGGGGCTCAAGGACTTGGGCCATCTTCTACTGCTTTCCCAGGCCATAGCAGAGAGCTGGATTGGAAGAGGAGCAGCTGGGACTAGAACCAGCACCCATATGGGATGCTGGCACTTCAGGCCAGGGCATTAACCTGCCGCGCCATAGCGCCGGCCCAATATATATATATATATATATATATATATATTTTTTTTTTTTTTTTTGACAGAGTGGACAGTGAGAGAGAGAGACAGAGAGAAAGGTCTTCCTTTGCTGTTGGTTCACCCTCCAATGGCCGCCACGGCCAGTGCACTGCAGCTGGTGCACTTCGCTGATCCGATGGCAGGAGCCAGTGCTTCTCCTGGTCTCCCATGGGGTGCAGGGCCCAAGCACCTGGGCCATCCTCCACTGCACTCCCTGGCCACAGCAGAGAGCTGGCCTGGAAGAGGGGCAACCGGGACAGAATCCGGCGCCCCGACCAGGACTAGAACCTGGTGTGCCGGCGCCGCTAGGCGGAAGATTAGCCTAGTGAGCCGTGGCACTGGCCCCAATATCTCTCTATTTAAATTTGTATTTACTTTATTTGAAAGGCCAAAAGACAGAAATCTTCCATCCTCTGGTTCACTCCTGCCAATGCTTTTATACCAGCTGAGGCCGGGCCAACCCGAAGTCAGGAGCCCAGGACTCAGTCCTGGGTCTCCCATGTGAACGATCTGATCCCAAGTACTTGAGCCTGCTGCATTCCAGAGTGAGCGTTAGCAGGAATCAGCAGAGCTGGAACTTGAACCCAGGCACCCTGGGATGGGATTAGGCATCTTAAGCAGTATCTAAACTGCTGTACCAAAAGCCCACCCCCTACAACATCCCTTTTAATGGGATTCTGTAGTTTGTTCTTGGCAATATGCTAGGCCTTCTGTATTTTTTATTTTTTGCTTTTAATAACAGATACTGAATTTCCTTTTCATAATGAAGCAATTTAAATTACAAATTCAAAACCAGGAAGCCGTTGCTTAGAAGTAAAATTCTTATCTTGGAAAAAGTCTTAAAATGAAATACCCAGTAGTCCCTGGAAATATTGAAGAGCAATAAATAGCAAAGGTGGCATTTAAATTTTCCTAGGGGGGCTGGCGCTGTGGTGCAGTGGGTTAGAGCCCCAGCCTGCAGCACCAGCATCCCATCTAGGCATTGCCGCTTCGAATCCTGGCTGCTCCTCTTCCAATCCAGTTCTCTGCTGTGGCCTGGGAAAGCCGTGGAAGATGGCTCAACTCCCTGGGCTCCTGCAACCACGTTGGAGCCCAGAGGAAGTTCCTGGCTTCAGATTGGCTCAGCTCTGGCCATTGTGGTCATTTGGGGAGTGAACCAGTGGAATTATTAAAAATAATTCTTTAAAAAATTTTTAAAAAAATTTCCTTAGGAATACAACATCCCTAATGGACATCTAGCTGTGGTTGAATGCTTCTGGCGTGTAGCAGTTAGTACCGTCCTACTGGAGTTTTAATTTTAGCTGTAGAATATCATCATCTTCCTGCTGACCTCTGTGCCCCTCACCAGGTGACCGAAACCTCTGCCACATGGTGACCGTTGTATCCCTTTTAAGGGTGGCGATGCCTGAGTACTTCACCTGGACTGCGAAAGATGTGGTGGCGGCTTCCCAGCCTTCCGCAGTCTTGTCTTTTGTTAGCAGATTTGAGCCTTTTGGTTAGTACTTTGTTTATACCTGTGCCCCAGACCCAACACAGGCTTCTGTGTGTTCTAGGTACTGCTTTGCCTGGGCTTTGCCCTCTCTCTGAGTTGGCTGAGCTGCATTGTGTTTTCCTGGCAGCAGTATCGCTGGCTCATGTTTTTGCATTTTCCTTGGACGGTTCTAATTTTGAAAAGAAGTTAATATCGTTTTTGTTCAAGGTTAATTTTATTTATTTGAAAGGCAGACAGGAGAGGGTGCAGGGAGGGAGGGAGGGGATATCATCCGTTGGTTCCATTCCCAGATGGCCCCAATGGCCATGCAAAAGTCAGCAGCCTGGAACTCCATCTGGGTCTCCCCCATGGGGTCCAAGCACTTGAGCCCTCCTCCACTTCTTTCCCAGGTGCACTAGCAGTTAGCTGGATCAGAGCAGAACAGCCAGGACTCAGTCGGGTGCTCTGACGTGGGATGCCGGCTTTGCAGGCAGCGGCTTAACTCGCTGTACCACAACACTGGCCCCAAAAGTTAATTTCTGATACAGAATTTCACAATTTAGAACAGGGGCTTAGTAACCGTCTTGGACTTACATGTACATTCAAAAACCTGACTTCCAAAAACCAGAGTTCCTTAATGGGCATCTGCTGTTCTTCTCTACCTTGTTTCTTCATGGTTTCCACCTGAAATGGCTGTCTCTTGGCACTAACCTGTAGTTTTAAAGGACCGTAACCTAAACATGGGGCAGGAAAGGAGTAGGGCCACAGGAGGAAGAAATTAAGGCTATCAGTCCACAGCCAGCATGCCAGGAAGTTCCGAGAAGCCCGTTTGGTCTCCTGGGGAAACCAGGCTTGCTTCTCTGAAAGGACCTTTGGCAATTTGTAAACAGATCGTAGGACAAAACAGAGTGACCAAGTGCCTTTGTTTGCATTTGGAAAATGGCTCTTGTACAAGCCTTCAGAATATTCTACAACATTTTAGTAGCAAATTTTAGAAATCCTGGATGTTACAGCTGTGTTAAACAAGTTTGAGAATTATAGTACTTTATTCATGGTGGATATTTATATAGATGCATTTAAATTGCTCTCTTAGGCTACACTACATTCAAATAAAGGGGCTTTGGCTTAATTAGTACTTCATCTCTACTGCCAAAGTAATTGTTTAAGTTTAAAGTACTGTCTCAATGCAATTTTTGCTACCTGAATTTGGTGCCAAGATTAAAATATGGGGGATTTGCAGTGATTTTTATAAATATGAAGAATCAAAACATCATTGCAGTCTAATTTATTTCATGGCCTTAAGAACAGTCACTCCTCTTGAATAAATGAATAATTTATCTGCTTATTTTTAAAAAGGTGCTTTACACTTTTTTTTTCAAGATTTATTTACTTATTTGACAGGCAGAGTTACAGACAGAAGGGGGAAAAGAGAGAGAGAGAGAGAGAAAGAGAGAGAGAGAGATCTTCCATCTTTTACTCTCTAAATGGCTGCAGTGGCCGGAGTTGGGCCGATCTGAAGCCAGGAGCCAGGAACTTCTGGGTCTGCCGCGTGGGTGCAGGGGCCCAAGGACTTGGGCCATCTTCTGTTGCTTTTCCAGGCCATTAGCAGGGAGCTGGCTAGGAAGTGGAGCAGTCGGGACGTGAACCAGCGCCTAGATGGGATGCCTGCACTACAGGTGGAGGCTTAACCTTCTACCTCACGGCCCTAAGCTTGAATGAATAATTTATAACTTTCAGTTTGGCAGAGCCTTGTACAAATGGTAGCATTTCCTATTCTAATTTTTAAAAATCAGGATGGTTAATGGATACAGAGGTGTACAGTTTGAGAGGAGGATTTTTTTTAAATTGTTTGAGAGGTAGAGTGACAGAGATCCTTTATCTTCTCATTCACTCCCAAATGCCCGCAGCAGCCAGGGCTGGGCCAGGAACTCGGAAGTCCATCTGGGTCTCATACCTCGGTGGCAGGGACCCAAACTCTGAGTCGTCATCTGCTGCCCTCCAGGATGTGCGTTAGTAGCAAGCTGGATCCGAAGCAGAGGTTGGATTCAACTGCAGGCATTCTTTTTATTTATTTATTTTTTTTTTTTTTTAAGATTTACTTGTGAGGCAGAGTTAGAGAGGTCTTCCACTACTCGCTGGTTCACTCCCTAAATGTCTGCAGTGGCTGGAGCTGGGCTGATCCAAAGCCAGGTGCTAGGGGCTTCTTTCAGGTCTCCCACATGGGTGCAGGGACCTAAGCACTCGGCCATCTTCTACAGGTGCATTGGGAGGGAGCTGGATAGGAAGTGGAGCAGCAGGATTTAAACTGGCACCTGTATGGGATGCCGGCACCTCAGGTGGAAGCTTAACGTACTCGCCGGTGTCCAATCCGTGGCTTGATTAAGTACTGTGCCACAGTACTTGCCCTAAGGATGAATAACTTGATGCTTTGTAGCACAGTAAGGTAACCCTGGTTGAAAATGATTAGTCGAGTCTTTCAAAACAGCTAGTAGAGAGGATTTAAATTTTTAAAAAAATTTATTTGAGAAATGGCAAATTTGGTTTACTCCCCAAATGCCCACAAGGGCTAGGGATTGGCCAGGCCAAAGTGGGGAGCCAGGAACTCTGTCCGGGTCTCCCATATAGGTAACAGAAACCCAGTTACTGGAACCATCACCACTGCCTGCTAAGGTCTGCAGTAGCAGGAAGCTGGAGTCAGGAGCCAAAGCTGAGTATCAGACTCGGGCAACTCCCAGAGGGGACGTAAGTGTCTTAACCTGCAGACCAGATGCCTGCCCCAGTAGGGGAGATTTGAATGTTCTCCAAAGAAATGACAGATGTCTGAAGTGAAAGATAGGCTGATAACCTTGATCTTGTCATTACACATTGTATACATGTGTTAAAATGTCACATTGTACACTGTAAATATGTGCAAGTTACTCTATGTCAGTTAAAAAGATAGAAAAAAAATACAAGTTGTATTGCCTAAAATAGATACTACAGGTTTCTCTATTTGTACAAATAAATTCTTTTAAAAGATTTATTTGTCTGAAAGGCAAAGTTACACAGAGAGCTTCCATCTACTGGTTCACTCCCCAAATGCCTGCAGTGACCAGGGCTAGACCAGGCCAAAGTCGGGAGCCCAGAACTCCTTCCAGGTCTCCCATGGGTAGCAGGGGGCCAAACACTGGAGGCATCCCCCACGGCTTTCCCTGGCACATTGACAGGGGGCTATATTGGAGAGGTGGAGCAGCCAGGACTCGAACTGACACTCATAATGGGATGCCAGAGGTATTGCAGGCAGCAGCTTAATCTGCTGTGCCACAATGCCAGCCCCTGTACAAATACATTTGTAATTTAATTCAATTTTTTCTTATAATGCGCTCATAAATATTATATAATTTTTGGTAATTTTAGGAAAACTTCCATTTATAGAAAAATATTAAGAAAATCATTTTTAAGAGGCATGTTTATTTTTAAACATTTCTAAAATGGTGTATTTATTTTTATTTTATGTTTGCTACTCTCCCTTTCTTATACATGCCAGCCCCACATCTTCAAAAAAGAATGGAAGAAACATGAAAGATGGTGGGATTCACCAGTTGTTTTTCAAAGTTTATGTTTAAAAATTGCAGTTTTCTTTCTTTTTTTTTTTTTTTTTTTTGTTCTTAGAGACACAATAACACATGCAAACAAAGACATTTCCACTTTAGTAAAACAGAAGTACACCCGGAAGCTGATCATGTTTTGTACTTTCTTACTTCCTAATTTAGCATTGGGAACTGTTAGTGCCAGAACCTTTCCTTCCACTAACTCCATTACATAAGATGAGGAAGTTTATTACACTGTTGAATTTATAAGTTTAATATACTTCATTATACCAAATATCATTACTGAACAATTAATATTAAACAAAATTCCTGTGAAATTCATTGATTCAACCATATAAGTGTTGATAGTTTTTTTGATGATTATTCTTACTATTCTATATGTCTCATAAGCTTTTTTAAAAGTTTTTTTAAAAGATTTAAAAAATTTTTTAAAGATTTATTTATTTACTTGAAGGAGTTACACAGAGCGAAGGAGAGGCAGAGAGAGAGGTCTTCCATCTGCTGGTTCACGCCCCAGTTGGCTGCAACGGCCCAAGCTGCGCCGATCCAAAGCCAGGAGTCAGGAGCCAGGAGCCTCTTCTGGGTCCCCCACATGAGTGTAGGGGCCCAAGGCCCCGGGCCATCATCTACTGCTTTCTCAGGTCATAGCAGAGAACTGGATCAGAAGTAGAGCAGCTGGGACTTGAACTGGTGCCCATATGGGATGCTGGCACTGCAGGCAGCAGTCTTACCTGCTATGCTGCAGCGCTGACCTCTAAAGACTTTATTTTATTTTTATTTGAAAGTCAGAGTTAGAGCAGAGGCAGAGGCCAAGAGAGAGGGTGGTTCACTCCTCAAATGGTGGTAACAGCTGGCACTGAGTTGATCTGAAGCCAGGAACTTCTTCCATGTCTCCCATGCAGGTGCAGGGTCCCAAGCACTTGGGCCTTCTTCTACTGCTTTCCCAGGCCACAGCAGAGAGCTGGATTGGAAGTAGGGCAGCTGGAACAGGAACTGGTGCCTTTACGGGATGCTGGCACTGCAGGTGGTGGCTTTACCTGCTACATCATAACACTGGTCCTGACTTACAAGCTTTAATTAGCCTTTAAAATCCCTATGACAGATAATTTTATTTAAGAAAATTGAATATTTAAGTTGATGACTGTTCCAAAGAAGAAAGCAGTCACTTAAATTTCTGGCTCATGTCCTGGCTATCAAACAACGCTTATAGAAGAGAACATGTGAATGGCACGTTGTCCCTTTTGAGTCTAGAGAAGCAAAGAATCCTCCTCATTATGCTTATTACTGGCTTAGTGGAATCTCACATTGCCTTAATTTAATCAGTGATGTGACTATTTGTGTGATGAGTAGGCCAACTGTAAAGAATATGTACACCTTGAAGTTTAGGTTAACACAATGCCCAGAAATAAGTATGTTCTGATTAATTTGTCCATTTTTAGAGTTATCTAACTTCTTTTTTCAGCACTTGCTGAAAAATAATTTTATAATGTTCAGATTCATTTATTACTTTATTAAATATACTCTCCGGGAAGTATAACTTGAGTATTCTTTGAGTAAACATCTCACATGGTTGCAGAGTTTTTTAGCCAGCAAGGGGTGGTAGTACTGAGGGTGGCGGCACATTTAGCCTTCCTGACACGTCTGCCTGGGGTGTGGCCAGTTTGTGAGTTGTTCGTGACAGCAGCTTGGATAAGATCACTGTGGAGATCATGCATTTCCTCATGAACAGTACTCTGTCCTTTCACTTCTCTCCCAAGGATAAGCGTTTTATTCTACAGGGTACATGGAAGTATCGGACTACTTTCTCTCCTGCAGCCTAATTAGAGATATAAAACAAATACATAAAATATTGTGGAATCATAAAAACATGATGTTCAGTACCCGTAAGAGAGCTCAGATCATCAATATTGTGGGATTCAAGAGTAAAGAGAGATTAGTGATTACCAACCATTGCAGGATGAGCACAACTGGGATCTGTAGCATGGAAGGTAGAAGGGAGGGTGGCAAAACAAGGCTAACCCTGGGGGAGTAGAGAACAAAAGCCAACAAAATGGATATGAAGATAAAGAGGAAAAATGCATAGTGATCGATCCACGGGCTATTGAAATAAGTATTTATTATTAAGAAAGTAATCAGTTTTGCTTTTTTTCTTAGTAAACTCAATTCTTGATGGCTTGCTTACTTCTATTTTTCTTTTATCGTGAAAGCCAGATAAAAGTTGGTTGGAACTTCTGGTTGGTTTTAATTGATTGAAAGTTTCTAGGGTTATGTTTCAATGGATTGTGTATTAAGAGCGTAACCTAACAAACTCTCAGTGTCTGGATTTGAAGTTGCCTGTGTTCTTTCCAGATAGGCCGATACAAATATAATTGCATGTGTGGTTTTGTTTTAGAAAAGCCAGTGAAGGTTTGAAGAGTATCAACCCAGATGACACAGTGCCCTCCATGCGACTGCTGGCCTATGGTAAGTTAAACTGCATGGTTTCATAACAAACTCAGAATTGGCATAAAAATCATTTTCATATTTTGAATGTTTATAGGCTTCAAACAATATTTTATTACTGCCTTAGTCTGTTGTTTACTTTCCCAGCTTTTCTGGTTCCTTCCGTAAAGGAAAGTGATTGCTACTGATCCTTATCTGCATTTCCTTAAATATCAACTGGAGCATACACGGTAGTGAACTACCAGTTTCCAAGTGATTAACTGTTCCTTTCTCTGGATAGCTACCATGGCTTTGGCTGTAACTGGGAGGACTCTTCATAGTGATGTAGTTGATACCTCTGTGTATTATTCTTTCAGAATTATGTGTAAAGATTGGGCCTAGATCCCTAAATTGAGTCACTCCAGTTTGGCTTAGGGGTCATCCCTTCTCATACACAGCTGCCCAACTCAGCTCCTGTTCCAAGCCATCAAGCTTTATTGACTCTGCTCTCATAAATAAAGGCAACTTCAGCATCATAGCCCCTTGCCTCACTTGTTTCTTTTGTGCCTTTCTCGATCTCTCTCATTTATTTCTCTGTTGTGTTCCATTATTCATTTCTTCTCCTACCCTTTCTCCCTGCACTCATCATTTAGCCAAGCATGCCTTTCCAGAGCCAGGTGTCTGCCGTTTCAACGGCAGCAGATGCGTAGTGCTTCCTAGTCTTTCGGGATCTGATTTGAAGAGAAATCCTAGCAGGAAAAGGGTTTAACAGTGTTTTTCTTCTTTAGTTTCTGGCTTGGGCTTTGGAATCATGAGTGGAGTATTTTCCTTTGTGAATACCCTGTCGGACTCCTTGGGGCCAGGCACAGTGGGCATTCATGGAGATTCTCCTCAGTTCTTCCTTAATTCAGGTATGTGTCTCATAGGTGTGAATATTCAGGTTTTTTTGTTAAATGATCACCTTTACTGGAGTTCAGTGACTTAGGAATACAAGTGAATAGAAATTTATGGTACATCTTTTACTGGAAAAATACTTTTAGCCACTGTGATGTAAAGAACCTAGGAAAATAAAAATGTTAGAGTGCTTTAGGATTTTAGAGTGGAATTTAGCTTGCCTAAAATTTACTTTTATTGGACTATACTAACAGTATTTCTGTATGGTTGAAATTTTAGAAGTGAATTTTTATAGGCCATATGCATTTTGGTTTTATGATTTTATACTTATCTTCAGTAGAAGCCCTAATCATTAATTTATCATTTTGGTGCCTTTTGAGGATAGGCAGTATAATTTAACCTTGAAATTGAAGGAGAAAAAGATAATAGATGAGTTGATGTTTTTATCCACAGATGTGATATAGAAGGACCAACTCACTTCAAATGGTTTTTTCATCCCCCAGCTAAAAATTGTCATGCTGCAGCAATCATAAATTTGAGTTGGTAACATGCACATAATTAACAAGATTTCTCCTATCCACAAGAAGATTCTTTAAAAATAGAGGGAGAACCCCATTATATATTTAGTTATCTCCATGACAATTATGCCACTGAAGTAGGTGATCCCATGTGCACATTGTTTCAATTACATCATTATTTATTTAACATCTATAATAAACCTCCTCGAGGAGCTTACCCTGTGTAGAGGAATCAGACCAAAAAAATGAATAAGTGTTCCTTTAATACAGTAGCAGAAAGGATAGGAGTGTGACCCATGAAAACATACTGCTGCAGTACAGAGATGTCCTGCATGTCACAGTGATCCCAGCCCGGTGACACAATTCTCAGGGGACCCTTTGTTCCCATTTCACTTCAGGCCTTGGCCTCTCCCGTCTGGGTCACTAACAGCATCTCCCAGCTGATCAGTCTCCTGTGCACACTGCACTTTCTGTGTGAAACTTCTTTTATCCTGCTACCTAACAAATCTTTCCCATTTCAAAACTATTTTGGCTTTCCAAGGTATGCAGGATAAATTTAAGACCCTTTCATTTATCTGGCTACAAGGAAAGTATGTCAGTGGTCATACTTAGTGTTGCCTCCAACATAGCGAATTATCTTTCTTTTAAATATTCCGTAATTATAATATTTCTGGCACATTTTTAAGCATACTGTACTGAGTGCTAGGTTTTAAAAGAGATGTAATATTAGTAAATCCACTACAGTCTAATAAAAATTAATAAAGCATAATCATGAGAGGTGTTGCCCCTTCGGCTTTCTGTTTTCTTATACAGTCTGTTTCACTGTTAAGCAATCTTTTTTTTATTTGAGTTTTGCCACGTTCTTTCACTAGATGGTGCTAATTCCCTTTACTGAGCTAGACTGTTTTCATATGATTTCTTAGGTTTGTTAGCACTTGGGAGATCATATTTGTAATTTCTGTGAATTTAAGGAAAAGTTCCATGTTCAGTATAACATATCTTGATATCATTAGCCAAGTTAGGATGGCAGAATAAACAAAGAATACTGGGTCACTGACTATTATATCTGTTTCAGTTAATTGTGTGTTAAGATATTTGTGGGTAAACAGATTTTACAGGCAGGCATAGTTTATAAATAATGTGTATGTATAAGTTAATTTTTAATATTTGTACTTGTATAGTAGGCTAGCATTAAATTTTAATAGAATTATTGCTCTTTCTTGGTAAAACTGTATAGAGATAAAAATGTGGAAATTGGAGTCCTAAGTTCAAGTCTTACCTTGGCTTATTAACTTAGTTGTTTGGGTAATTCATTTGGTTATTTAACCATTCATTCTTCAACTAATTATTTTTACTAAGTGGGTGTTATATCAAGCAGTAAAAATACATCCTAGTTAATGTCTGTACATTCTACTTATAGAAAGAGAATAAAGACAATGTACAAATTCTGTACATAGAAGGAGAATAAAGACAAACAACCAATTACAATGCAGTGTGATCAATCTACAAGGTGGGAGAGCCTTGAGAATACAAGGACAGGCTCCGAGTCCCTCATGGATGGTTCAGCACTTTGCCTGCATGGCATTTACCTCTGTTGTGATGAACTGACTGATGTAGCTTGTTGAAAGTGAGGTGCTAAGCCACAGGGCAAGACTCCATCTTGTCTTGTTGGCTGCTGTATCCCTAGCACCTGGTGGAGTCCTTTGTTTCTAGATAGCACTCAATAAAAATCTTCTGAAAAATGAAAGCTGGGCACAGCTGACGGAGGAAGTGTGGTTTGAATAGAGATGTAATGAAAGGCTACGTAATAGCTAGGTGGGTTAAGGAAGGGGTTTGTCAGGGAAGAATGTCCCAGGTGGAGGGAGGAGTCCTCCCTGCTGGCTGGAGATAAAGGTTGGCCAGAGGGAGTGTGGTACTCCATCTAACCTTCAGTTTCTTGCTCTTTTCAGAAAGGGCAAAAATCATGCCTGTCATTTAGTAATTAAGCAAAATTTATTTAGGAAATATATATATTTAAGTGTTTTATAAACTCTAAAATGGACTAATAGGGGCTGGTGCTTTGGTGTATCTGATTAAACTACGGCCTTCAGTGCCAGCATCCCATATGGGTGCAGACTTGAGTCCTGGCTTCTCTACTTCTGATCCAGCTCCCTGCTAACGTGCCTAAGAAGGCAGAGGGAGATGGCTGAAGTCTCTGGGCCTGCCACCCACATAGGACATGTAAAAGAAGCTCCTTGCTCCTGGCTTCAGCCTGACCCAGCCCCAGTTGTTGTGGCCATTTGGGGAATGAACCAGTGGGTGGCTATCTGTCTTTCTGTTTCTCCTCTTTTTCTGTAACTTTACCTCTCAAATTTTTTAAAAATTTTGGATAAAAAATATAACACTCTAAACCATATTCTAGGATAATTGGTTTCATTCATGGGGAACAATTAAAAACAGCTGTAAAAATGTACATTTAAACAGGTTATGTTAAGAAATTAAAATTTTCCCTATATTGCCATTTGATTAAAAAATAAAAATGGAAACAACAAAAATTTGCCACCTTATAAATAAACCTGAAACAGGTTGTTCAGGAATAAGAATGCAAAAAAAAAAAAAAAAAAAAGTTAAGCCTGGAATGTGTAATGTTTCAGTCAAACAAAAAGGTTTGATCCATTCCAGCTCATAAACTAATATAATAGTGTTTATGATTTTGCAAATTCACCAAATCTTTTCCCCTACATTGGTGGTTTTGTGATGGATTCTCTTGAGTTCTACCCATGATTGCCCTAGTAACAGTCCACACACTGTTAATGAATACCAGATAGACCCAAAAGTGGATTCAATGGCTGGTGTTGAGGTTGGGGCTTCCGAGCAGCCACTGAGTGAGGAAGGTCATCCAGCCACTGTACAGCTCGCACATGCACAGGGAGATCTGCAGGGGATGCCAGTAATATTTCTCTGTAGCATGGATGAGGAACAATGCCAGATCCCCATCCAGGACAAGAGTCAGAATTTCCCAAGACAAATGGTTGGATCAAAATAAAGCCATCTTTTATCCACTTTGTCATATTCTTTCCATAAAGATCCAATCAAGACGTCAGGGTCTGCAACATTTCCTACCAAAGACAAGTAGACAAAAGGGGCTTCCAGCACCAGGGAATCATAGCAGAGCCAGGCGAGCACCCCGTGGCCGGTCTGTCCCCTCCTGCAGCCCCAGCACAGGTCCAGTACACCGTCTCCACCAGCAGCAGCGAGTGACTCACCGTGGCCCCAGCTTCCACCCTGTGCCGGTGCTTCCTGCTCCCAATGCACAGGGAACCTTGAGGGAGGGGAGGGAACAGAGAGTAAATAAATCTTAAAAAAAAAAAAAAAAAAAGACTAACAATAGTATTAAAATAGAGATTTGGTTCTCAAGATGAAAAAACATTTAGGCAAAATAATTTCCGTAATTCTGTGTGGAACCTAGGTTTATTACTCTGAATTGCCTCCTTTATACATTAGGAGAAAAATGTCTAACTAGTACTCAATAAAAAACAGTATCTGGTACTTTATCTTTTAAACATCCCCAAAGCTTTTATAGATTTTTTTAGGCAATGTTCTTTTTTTTGATAACATATGCTAGTCATTTTATTTATTTGTAATAGGAAACTTTTATTTAATAAATATAAATTTCAAAAGTACAACTTTTTAATTACAGCGGTTCTTCCCCCCATAAGCACCCTCCCACCCGCAAACCATCCCATCTCCTACTCCCTCTCCCATCCCATTCTTCATTAAGATTCATTTTTGATTATCTTTATATTCAGAAGACCAACTCTATACTAAGTAAAGATTTCAACACTTTGCACCCACACAGCAGCAGCTTTACCTTCTATGCTACAGCGCCATCCCCTCTTTCTTTCTTTGTAAAATATTTATTTGAAAGTCAGAGTTATGGGGCTGGTGCTGTGGCACAATGGGTTACTGCTGTGGTCTGAAGCACCGGCATCCCATATGGGCACCGGTTCGAGAACCAGCTGCTCCGCTTCCAATCCAGCTCTCTGCTATGGCCTGGCAAAGCAATAGAAAATGGCCCAAGTCCTTGAGCCCCTGCACCCACATGGGAGACCTGGAAGAAGCTCCTGGTTCCTGGCTTTGGATTGGCACAGCTCTGGCCATTGTGGCCATTTGGGGAATGAACCATCGGAGGGAAGACCTCTCTCTCTCTCTCTCTCTCTCTCTCTCTCTCTGCCTCTCTCTGCCTCTCTCTGCCTCTTCTCTCTCTGTGTAATTCTGACTTTCAAATAAATAAATAAATCTTAAAAAAATAAAAAAGAGTTACAAGGAGAGAGAAAGAGAGAGAGAGAGAGATCTTCCATCAGCTGGTTGACAGCCCAGAAGGCCACAATGGCCCAGGCTGGCCAGGCTGTAGCCAGGAGCTTCATCCATGTCTCCCACATGGGTGGCAGGGGCCCAGACACTTGGGCCACCTTCCAGTGCTTTCCCCAGGTCATTAGCAGGGAGCTGGATTGGAAATC